TTGGCAAGGCGGATCCCTGCGAGCAATGCCTCATACTCAGCCTCGTTGTTGAAGGCGGCAAACTCGAATCATATTACGGCTCTGATTGGGTTTCCCTCTGGACTTTCAAGCAAGAGCCCCGCTCCTCCTCCTTTCTCATTCAAGGAGCCATCTACATATAGAGTCCATTGCCATAAGTTGTCAAACATCGACTTCTGTTGCTTGATCTCTCCTGCGGTAGGCTTGACTTAGCTTCTGGCTGATAGGAGAATTTAGATATAAAATCTGCCAAGGCTTGACCTTTGATCGCTGTCTTCAGGATGTACTTGATGTCGTACTGACTCATCTCCATGGTCCACTAGATCAGTCTACCCGATGTCTCGGGCTTTTGCAATATTTTCTTTAGTGGGAAATTTGTTAGCAAGTGGATGGAGTGTGCCTGGAAATAGGGTCGCAGCTTTCTAGCAACGACGACAAGGGCGAAAGCGAGCTTCTCCATCTCTAGGTACCTCATCACCGCGTAAAGTAGTCACTTGCTTACATTGTATACCAGCTATTGTACTCCTCCCTCTTCGTGTATTAATGTCACGCTGACAGCGGACTTCGATATTGACAAATATAGCAGCAATGACTCGCCCTGGATGGGCTTTGATAGTAAAAGAGGCTATCCCAGATGTTTCTTTAGCTCTTGGAAGGCTCTTTCATACTCCTTTGTCCACTTGAAACCTTTCTTCTCTTTCAAAGTCTCAAAGAACGGCAAACATCTGTTCAAAGTCTCAAAGAACGGCAAACATCTGTCCGTGGCTTGGGAAACGAATTTGCTGAGTGTGGCCACATGCCCTGTCAAGCTCTGCAACTCCCTTCTGCTGGTTGGGCTTTTCATGTCGAGCAGAGCCTAAATCTTCTCTGAGTTGGCTTCTACACCCCGTTGGTTTACGAGGAAGCCCAAAAATTTGCCCGAGCTCACCCCAAAAGCACATTTCAAAGGATTGAGCTTCATTCGATACTTTCTGAGGATGTTGAACATTTCCCTCAAGTGCTCAACGTGGCTTTCGACAACCTTTAATTTGACGAGCATGTCATCGATGTATACCTCTATGGTATGACCAATTTGGTCGGTGAACATCTTGTTCACCAAGCGCTGGTAGGCCACCCCAGCGTTCTTGAGGCCAAATGGCATAACTCTTTAACAATAAATTTCACGGTAAGTAATAAAGGAAGTATGTTCTTCATCGGGCTGGTACATCGAGATTTGGTTATATCCCGAGTACATATCCATGAAGCTGAGTAGTGCATTTACTATTGTCGCATCTACTAGCTGGTCGATCCTGGTAGCGGAAAGCTGTCTTTGGGATAGGTTTTGTTCAGATCTGTGAAATTGACGCAAGTCTGCCACTTGCCCTTCGACTTCTTGACCAGGACTAGGTTGGTGATCTAGTCCAAGTACTTGACTTCCCTGATGAAGTTGATTTTCAGGATTTTGTCAACTTCATCCTTTAGCGCTTGAGAGGGCTACACATCCATAGCCTTTCTTTTTTGCCTTATGGCCCAAGCTTGAGGGTTGAGGTTCAACCTGTGACACATCACCTTGGGGCTGATCCCAACCATATCTGCATGCACCCACATGAACACATCGAGGTTCTTCTTCAGGAATCCCACCAGATTTTTGGCCATTTCTCTAGTTAAACTGCTGTCGATTTTCAGCACATAAGTTGGGTCTTCCTTGCTGACACTTATTTCTCACAGCTCTTCAGTTGACCTTGCTGTGGGCCCTTCTCTATGGATGCGAGGATCTATAGTATCCTTCAGTGGTCTGGGGTTAGGCTTGGATTCTGCTATGACTGTTGTTCTCGGGAGCGACCATTTTTATGCTTTATGTATGGCCCGGTTGTAACATTCACGAGATTGCTTTTTGTAGCTTTTGATAGTCATGACTCCCTTAGGAGTCGAAAACCTCATTGCGTGGCAGTGCACTGATGTGACTGCACTCAAGTCATCCAAGATCAGTCTTCCGAGGATGATATTGTATGCGATTGGGCAGTCTACCATTGGGAATTCAGCCATCACCATCCTAATCTTGGGCTCTGCCCCTAGAGTCACGAGAAGGTCAATTGTTCCTTTGGGAACCAGGTTGTCCTTGGTAAAACCATAGAGCGGCGAAGGGCATGCCCTTAGGTATCTCTCTGTGAACCTCATTCCTTGGAAAGCTTCTAGAAAAATAATGTTCGCTGCACTCCCATTATCGACCATTACACTTAACACTCAGGCATTGTCGATTCTGTCTGTGATCACGATCACGTCATGGTTGTGGCAAAGGGATTCTTCTCATTCCTCGATTATGAATCCCACTACCTCACTATCTTGTATGGGCTGCTTGGGTAACTTTTGTTCACAGCTCATTATCCAAGGATCGAGTTTGTTCTGGCCTCTCGAGCATATTGCTCGCGAGCACGCCTTGAGCTCCCCGCTATGTCGGGCCCCCCATAAATCATGTCCACTAGGACGTCATTGGGGTTTGGCGGAGCTTGCTGGACTTGGTTCTGAACCTGGCTTTGGCCCTGGTTATTTTGCTCGCTAGTATTTTCGCGAGTTGGTGCTGCCTTAACGAATTCCTTTAGGTGGCCCTTTCTTATTAGGTCATCAATGGCGTCCTTCAAAGCTCGACACTCATTTGTGCTGTGTCCAACATCCTTGTGGTACTGACAGTATTTTTGCCGATCTCTTCTGCCCGGTGCCCCCCTCATTATCTCTAGAGCGGGCAATCTCTTTGCCTTGCAGGACACTTCGTATATGTGGGCGATGTCTTGAGTAAGGGGGTGGTATTTTGCATACCACGGGAAAGGCTGACTGTCTCCACGGTTATCTATTCTTTGTCTTTTTTGGAACCTGTTGCAGTCCCTATCGTTATGGTCTTGGCCCCTGCGCTTATCCGATGAGCGATCTTGTCGCTTGTCCGGGGTTCCTTGCGCCAAGCTTCTAACCAGTGCTTCCAGCGAGCTTTCTACCCTCTGATATTTTGCAGCCATCTGATAGAACAGGGCTAGGCTTACATGATCTTCACTTTGGAGCTCTTTCCATAGCTCCGTGTTTGGTTTGATCCTTGCGATTAGCAAAGTTCGGATGGACTCCTCAGGCGCATCCGCCACCTTTGCCTGTTTGTTTTGGAACCTCATTATGTACGAGGTTAGTGTTTCATCTCTCTTCTGATGAATGTTACTCAAGTAGCTGAGCAACATTGCGAATTGCCTCCTCACTTGAAATTGTTGTAAGTATAGCGAGGAGAATTGTTGCCAAGAGTTGATGGAGTTCAACTTGAGCCTTTTATACCACCTCTTAGCGTCCCCTACCAATGTGACTGGTAAGCATCGATATTAAGCCAAGTCACAAACTTGGTGTAGCTCCATCAGGTCATTGAACTTGTTGAGGTGGTTTCTAAGGTCCCCTCTCCCATCAAACTTGCTCTCTGGCGCCCTGAATCCTTGTGAAAACTGGGTCTGGCGAACTTCCTCTGTAAAGGGGGAACTTACTATTTCCTCCACTGTGCCATTCTGGCAGGCTCTCAGATCGTCTAGCATTTTTTGCATGCGATCTAAGTCTTCGTTGTGGTTGCCCTGGTTGGCTTTATTCAACCTCACTTAAAGCTAATGGGTTCGCAAATCTACTACTTATGAGGTCTTTCCAGTGTGTGTGCTGATGCGTGAGGTCGAGTCATGATGGTTAGGTTGATAAGTGTTATCATGCTCGTCAGTGCGTTGCTCGCAATGTCGAGTATAACCAAACTGTCGGTCATTGCTAGATTGACGTACTTGGCTCATTCTGCAAGCCTGCGAAGATCGATCTTGTCTTGGGTGTGGGCTAATACCAACACGCTGATGTTGGGGATATCGCCGAGCATCTCGGGGGTGTCCGTTGTCTTTGCTTTCCCCTAGTGGTTGCTTCCCTGGTTGCCTTCTGAGATTAGTTTGCCCACGGGATTCACGCTTGTGAGCGGAGTGCAATTTGTGATGTCGGGGGTGTTGGTCACCTCTTTGTGCCGAAGAAACGAATCATCCACCTGAAGAATTCATACATGTTGGGGTGGCGTTGGTGAAGTGTGGTTGGTTAAGATTTTGGGCAATTGGTTGTTAGTTCCTCAGCTCAGCCACGTTTTGTTGCACTGCCTGTGCAACCATTTTTCTGATCATCTCCACCAGCTGGCCGTTCTCGGGGTTTGACGTCTCTGAACCTCTGGTGGTTTGTAATGTGTTTGGTTGGTGGCACGGGCGGTTAGCATCCAAAGGCGTCCTGTTGCACTTCCTGGTGGGTGGTTTCCACATTTTCAAGGTTTCCGGTGGTAGTCTTTGACTTGGTGTGCACCATTGTGGGCCTGGATTGGGTTGGTTGCTGTGACTGTTCGCCAAAATACCTGAGATGTTGATGGGGCCCTCCTTCTAGCGCCAAAATGTTGATACAGAAATCTGCACCAACCAACAAGATTCGATCAACCTTGCCGGGATCGGAACTGATGTGAGCATGATTAAAGATAATCAGCGACGAAGGTATAAAGATGTAATAAAGTAAAAGACAGTGAGAGTTTTTAAAGTGGATCGGCGAGGTAAACTCTGAAGTCTACGTCCACGGTTTTGTATTTGCGGTGAGAGCTTACAATGTAAATTCTATGAAAAATTTGTAACCCCTTTTTCATAATTTGAGGGGGTTTATATACAAGATTTGTAGGAAGGAAAGAGCGAAAACAAAGGGATTACAATTGATCTAAAATGTAATTCTGATATTCTCGCGATTAGGCGTTAGGATTGCGCAGAAATTGCTGTTGATCTAATCTTTTCCACAATATCTAGGATCTGAGATAATCCGGGAATTGCTTGAATGATTGCTTGGATTATTTGCGACTAGCTTCTGTTGGGTCGAGCTACAGGTCAACGAGCTTATGCTGGGTTGATCAAACATCGTTGCCGAGCTGATTCTGGGTCGAGCTATATCCTCACGATAGCCCGAGCTTGGCGGAAAAATCACACACAACAACCTCTATGGCGGTTCTGATCGTTTGTTATCACAAGTAGCTCCAAAATCTGGAATTGTGGTGAAGTTAGTAATTTCTTTTTTTCATTGATATGGTTTGTTTGTATTGAAATTTGAGATGTTCGTGCCGGAAAATGTGCAGGCGTGTTAATACAAGTGATTTGGATGAGGTTGCCGCTGCTATTGGTCCTTGGACAAAGCTTGTGTGGCTGGAGAGTCCGACCAATCCTCGACAACGAATATCTGATATTCGTGTAAAACATTTACCTTTTTTGTCATTATAACACATATGATATACCATGCTTGATAATTTATAGACTTGTTGTGCGGCATTGTATTGCACTAAAACACTCCACCATTCGACCAAAATATTTAAGATAGTGTTTGGTTGATTTGGGAGGGGAGACGAATGTGGACTATATCAATCCGCAGTCCTGTCCCAAGCACATTTGGCTTGACGGGTTAAGCTTGTGGAGGCCTTTGCTTAATATTCTAAATTATGAATTAATTAATTAAAATTATTAATAATAATTATATAATTGAATGATTATAGAAAATACCTGAAATTTCTTAAATATAATTTTAATTAAAATTAATTTTTATTTATATTGATTTCAGTCAATTTAATTACTGATAAAATTTGAACTTACTATTTTTTATAATTCAATTAAAGACGGTGCTACAGGATAGTTATAAATTATTTATTCCACTCTAATCTAATCCAATTTTATGCTATCTAATACAGTTTCAAAATATTAGTCCAATGTAATTCAATGCTTTTAGGAATTTCTGTTTAAATGTGCAGACTTGAGAATACAAACGGTCTGTTTAACCCCTCATGGATGCCATTAACATCTGCCCTTCTTAACTTGAACATGAGGATATGTTTTTTCTATTTTAGTTTATTCAGTTTTTTATGAAATGCATTATTGTCATGAATTCGTTTTGTGATAATGGTTTTTGATATTTGTATAATAGGAACTTCAGATTTTTCACATTTTGATTTGTAGAAAATTGCTAAAATGGCTCATGAACATGGTGCTCTTGTGTTAGTGGATAACAGCATTATGTCCCCTGTATTGTCACAACTTCTGGTGTTATGACTTGACTCCTTTTTCTTTAAATACTTTCTAATTGTTATTGTTCCATCTCCATTTCCGACATTGTTATGCATTCAGCTACTAAATTTGTATCTGGACATAGTGATGTCATGGCGGGCGTGCTTGCAGTAAAAGGGAAAAGGTTGCAGCTCTTCCATTATTTTATACTTTGGATTTTTTATGTTTTATTTTGGGAAAAAATCTAGATATTTTTTTAATCAAAAGTAGAAATTTTTTCTTCACTTTTTCGGATGTTCGGTAAGATTTCTACATCATACCACAATAATGCTACGAACACCGAAGACTTGAACCGAAATCTTACACCGAATAACGTGTCAGTTGAGTAGATGCAGCCACGTAGCATATTAACAATTATTACGCGAATGAACGACCGTCCATCAAATATGGATGGGCATCCATGATTATTGTACGACTTTTCATTTTAAATGGACTCCTATCCATGAGAAAATAACAATGGACTCCCTTCCATATTATATGGACGGGAGTCCATTTACTATGGACGGGTGTCCACCTAGAATGGACGCCCGTCCATAGTTTAAAAATCATGGACACTCGTCCATATATTATGGACGAGCATCCTTACTAGAAAAAAATAAATTGTTGTTTTTCTTTTCAAACTCTTCTTCCTCATCTAGCTCTTCAATGTCATCCATGCGTTCAGTTTGGTTTTTTAGTAATCCAAATAGCAAAAAAAAAAAAAAAAAAAAAAGGGGGATGAGCTACCCAGATGAAGCCTTCGAAGCGGGTTGAGTTGGTCCAACAAAGAAAGTCAGGGGAGAAAGATGAAGATGCACAAACGGTGCTGTCCACGAAGAAGGGCAATTCAATTGAGTTTGGAGTTGTTGATAAATTTTGTAATATAATAATGGACACCCGTCCATATTATACAAATGGGCGTCCATATTATATGGACGACCGTCCATTAAATGGATGGTCGTCCATATAATATGGAAGACCGTCCATACGCAATTTTTTTTTTAATTTACATATTTTTTTTCTGATTTGTAAAAAAGATTAGCTTGTCTAATATGCTTCTCCAAAATAAGCGCCAAAATTTTTAGACGAAATATAAAAAAAAAAAAAAAAAAGAGAACTTCTAATACCTTTCACTTCATCGTTCCCATCTTTTCTTCTCGTCTGCGTGTTCTTCTCGTTTGCCTGTTCTAGTTAGTCTTCTATAGAGAATTGCCGATTTCTTCCTCAACAGTGGCAACCGGTTTCTTCCTCAACAACCACAATAAACAGCTACCGTACAAAAAAGAAAGACAACATTTTTTTATGAAAGAATCGTTTAGGGTGGAAAGGGAGTTAGGGAGATCAAACTTTTTTGAGATTCAAAAGATTTGTTGAGGTACTTAAGAGTTTTTTATTTAATTTATGCATTTATTTAGTTTTGTATTCTATTTTGGATTGAATATATGTTACAATAGAAAATAACTTATAGACAATATTTGTTGGCGACTGTTGTGAACCAGATTTGTGAACAAAAAACTAGTATTGGTTTCGCATGAAATTACAGAATATGGAAGAGTCCAGTTTGGCTCCTTTCAATGATGCTGAGGTAAATTGTATTCGAAACCTTAACTTTTTCATTAGCATGATTTTAAATTTGTTGTATCATATTGTTTCTTATGATGTGTTGTATTAGTACACTCTAATTTTGTCCATTATAAAACTATTAAATGATCAGGAAAATGAACATGATGAATTAGAAGATATAGGATGTGCAGAGGAAGAAGTGGAGCCTCATATTGGAATAGTGTTTGATTCAATTGATAATATACTGAAGTATTACAAAATGTATGGTAACAAAATCGATTTTGAAGCAATGATACATACGTCAAAGAAAGGAGATGATGGGGAGATGAGATACGTAACAGTGGCGTGTTCTTGTTCTGGGAATGAGAGATGTAAATCTAGAAATACCTTGAAAAAACAACGTATGCTAAAACAGATTGTAAGAGTTGGATTAGTTCAACTTTAAATGGTGAATGCAAATAGGAAATTAAATCAATTGTACTTGAACGTAACCATGATCTTACAAGTCTGGCGAAAAGAAGATATTCAAGGTTAACCAAACGATACAACCTTATGTGAAAATGAGGCTCGAAGTTAATGATGTGGTTGGGATTAGAAAGTGTAAAAATTTCCAGTCATGTTCAGTAAAACCGGTTACGATTAACTGAGTTTCATGTTATCCCGAACCGGTAACCGAACCAAAAATTTAGTTTTTTCATTTCTTTGAATCGAAACTGAATCGGTTTTTTGGTTAATTGAAAATTTGGTTTTGGTTTGGTTTTTGCATTTTTTTGTACACCCCTACCTTCGACACAACATATCTGACGAATAAGTATGATATGTCATTTGCTGCTTTTGTGGGGGTTGATCATCATGGACATTCGACATTGTTAGGTTGTGGGTTAATTTCCCATGAGGACACTAAGACATTTGTATGACTATTTTGTTCTTGGCTTAAATGCATGGATTTTGCTCCTAATGAAATTATTACTGATCAAGATAAGGCCATGCAATATGCACTTGAGATTGTTTTCCCCGGTACAAGACTTAGGTGGTGTTTATGGCATATAATGAAAAAACTTCCTGAAAAGTTAAGAGGGTATGAGGAATATGAAACTATAAAGTTTAAGTTACAAAATATTGTGTATGATTCCTTTACACATGAAGAGTTCGAAGAACGGTGGAACCAATTCATTGATGTGCACAATTTTCATGAGAATAAATGGTTATGTGGATTGTACAAAGAAAGAGTACATTAGGTGTCTGCATTTCTTAAAGATACTTTCTAGGCAGGTATGTCTACTACCCAACGTAATGAAAGTATGCATGCATTTTTTGAGGGATATGTAAATTCCAAAACAACGTTGAAACAATTTGTGGAACAATATGATAATGCATTGCAAGAAAAAGTGGAAAAAAAAAAAGAAGGCTGATTTTAGATCTTTCAAATCTTAGATACCATGCATAACTAATTACCCTATTGAGAAACAATTTCAAAGTACATACACAACTACAAAGTTTAAAGAGTTTCAAGAAGAGATTGTGGGAAGATTTATTGTGAGTTATCTTTTCTGAAAAGTGTGATTCATATAAGGAGTATGAAGTTTTAGAAGATGTTTGGTTTGGAGATAATAATCGGCATGTTCCCTTTGTAGTATACTTTGAAGAAAGTTCGTGTGATATTCGTTGTACTTGTCATTTGTTTGAGTTCAGAGGGATTTTATGCAGACATGCCATTATTGTGTTGATTCATAAAAGGGTTTCACACGTTCCAGATAAGTATATTTTACGGCGTTGGAGGGCAAATATAAACAGATGTCATACAAAAATTAAGGTAATTTATAATAGGTGGAGCACCAACGTTGAAGGACAATATTTTGATAAGTTGTCTAATATAATGCTGACAACAGCTAATATGACATCAAACAATGAGGAAGATTGTAATATGTTGATGGAATTTATGATTGACATGAGAAAAAAGTTGGAGCATAAGGAAAGTGAGGAAAGGCTTGGTAGAAAAGTAAACATCTCTTCCACAACCAGTTTGAGTAGTAAAGATAGGGATAGTCCTTCGAAAGAGAGGAATAGTCTAATTATTAGTCAACATGCAGTTTGCAGCAAAGGTCATCCTCCATGCAGAAGAAAGCAATCAAAGGTTGAATAAATTGTATGTAGGGTTAAAAATAAAAAATTACGAAAACTAAGAATTGGTATGAGTTATACACCTATTCTTACATGATATTTGTTTTTTAAACATTATTTACTTATTTGAAGTTTATAATAATATCGACTTGATTATTAATATGTTATACTACTTTTTAGGAAAAGGATCATCAGTAGGGCGAGAAAAGGAACAGTTTCTTTCATCTAGTTCCGTGGCCAATGCCCTCCCATATGATTACGTTAACATTATTGAGAGTATACCAGAAACTCTCACAGGAAAAAGTAATTTATGTACTGGGCAGAAGTCTGTAAATGAAGAACATGTTTCGTTGGGAGAGATTTCATGTTGTTGACAGGTTGAAGCATATAGAATTGTATTTGGTAGAAATTATTTGCGCTTTGGTTAATTTTTTACGAATGCAGTTGAGTTGTATGCTGATTCAGTTGTTTTGTTTTTATTATTTTGGTCGTTGGTTGGGTATGAGTATGCCGTCTATTTTAGGGTTGTGAATTCATAATAATAACCTTAATGTAACTTATTCTGAATGTTTTTAGTATATATTACCGTCACATTGCAAACTATTTGTTAACCGGTTGTAGATGGAATTTTGGATATGCATTTCATTTGAGATTTGAATTTTGATATGTCTTTTGGTATGTCTAGTGTTATATATACATATGCAGTCAAAAGAGTAGTTGAGATATGTATAAACGAAAGGCAAATATATTTATAAACAAAAGGCAATCTTTATCAAGAACTTCTTATGAAATCAATTTTTAACAATTAACATATTTATAAACAAAAGGAAAATATAATCTTCCTACCTAAAGCTTAGTATTTGAACCACACATAATGACAATTAACATTTATTGTGCGTTCCCCAAGGACGTTGAGAAGGGGGAGGCTGTTGGGAAATTCTTCATCATGGTGCAAGGGTGGAGGTTGACTGGAGGAAAAGGTGGCTGTTGAGAAGTTCTTCATCATGCTAAAAATTGCTGTCATGCATTCCCCAAGGATGTCAACCTTTTCTTCTGTTCTGGATGCGAACGAGTTGAAATCACTTTGCAACTAATCCTGTTGTTCCTGCATTTTCACCTCAATACATGAAAAACGCTCATCTTGAAACTTTTCAATCCGCTCAAATCTACTTACTATTTCATCCAAAGTATGAGAAGACATATCTTGTACATTCTGAGATGATCCAGGTTCAATACTCGTTCTTCTTCTTTAGCGCACATTGAGTTGTCCTTCATTTACCCCTTCTGGAATAGTGAAACCTTCCTAAACCATTGCATCTTCCTCCATTTCATCCCTAATCACAAACCATTCTCCCGCCATATTCTTTTTAGTCAAACCCATTTTACACAATGTCACATCCCCACAACAAATTATTTGCAGAAAACTTAATCTTATTTGCTTCATCATTAGGGGTGATCTGAATATCCAACTTTTCACATATTAACATAACAAGCATTCCCCAATACGTTTCTCATTTTTCTGCTTGAACCTCTCCCAACTTCTTAATCAATAACTTTGCTTAATTTACTTGCCTCTCTGCTATTGCTGCTTCCATGAACAATAAATCCTTAACCGTCACATTTCCATTTGTCTCTTTCCTACCATTAAATGTGTAAGTCAGATATCTATGAAATACTCTCATAACAGGATTATTTAACTTTGTAGATTTACACCTATGTGATGGTAAATCCCTATTCCAGAAACATCCATCCAAGCTTGTTTAGAATCCCACGTTTTAGATACGTTATCCAAACCTTCAAAATCAAATCCTTTCCAGATTGCTAATTCTTGTGGTCTCACTACAAAATTCTTATTCTTTAATCTAAAAAACATTGTATACGCCGGAAACTCATTAGTATCTGTCTCCATGACTTCCAAACTACCAAAAAACTCATAGATCAAATGCTTATATCCATCATATCTAATAGTCACAAACTGGTCCCATTTCAAATTATGAATCCAACCATTAATTTCATCAAATAAACCCAAACTTTTTATAAGTCCTAAATCCAAACCTCTTCCAAGACAAATATCACTTTTCGACGCCTCCTTGTATTGATTTTTATGTCGCAAGTCTCGAAATTGGATTTCAGATGACGATGTGCCTCCATGAGGAATGGTTGTATTTTTTGCTCTTACCATTTTCAGCTTTCTTCTAAAACCTGTATATATATTAAAAAGACATCATCATAATAAGTGATAACTAAAGAAGTTTGAAAGATGCAAAAGTGTCAATAATCATATGAAGTCAATACCAATGAGAAATGACACAATCACAAGAAGAGAAATTAAGCTCAGTTAGCTACATTAAATAATGATGTTCAAGCTGATGTTATATAAGTGTGCCCATCCGAGAGTCTAACATGTTTTTAGCAGGCACTTCATAAAAATAAAACAAAGAACCACATAAAGAATATGCTAGAATGGGTTCAACTCAGGGTCATTTAAACTCCACATTTTCCTTTGGTTACATTTGCCCATCCGAAAGTCTTAACAGTTTTGATTGTATGTCATGTCCAACATGTTAGTCATCATATTTTATTTTTGCTTTGAGTTTCATTAATTCACCATGAAAATATACATCTATGATCTGGGAAGGTCATATGCTGTTTTAACCTTCTCTAGGATCTGCCACCCAACATGAGAAGAAGAAAAAAATGAAACTTGCGCAAGTGCGATATCCTATCTTAACAAGATCTGCAAAATTTCATAAAGAACAACACATTAAATGTTTTTGATAACAAGAAACAAAAACCTTCAGACCTTCAGTCATGCCTGGACCCCGAAATGATTTTGAGGATGTTCTATTAGCTTTGTCAAAACTTGAATTGAAAACCAGCAGCAACCCAACTCTACAATGTCAGAAGTTAAAAAAACCCTTTCACAGTCAAGATCTAAAAGATAGTTCAAACATTATATCCACTTTATTCAGCGACAAAAACATTGAAAACAGAACACCCTACCATAAAAGGTTCTATCATTTCTTCATGATATAATGGCACACAAAAACAGACCTTTCCACAATTCACCGATACAAACCAAATAAACTCAATAACTTACAATAATAATGGCATATGACTTTGACGAAGAAGAAGAGCGACAAATGAGGAACGAAGATGAAGAAGAAGAGCGACAAATGAGGAATGAAGATGAAGAAGAAGAGCGGCAAATGAGGAACGAAGATGAAGAAGCGAACGATGTAAATCAAGCTCAATTATCAATCAAAACTAATAAAATATGATGAACAACAACCAAATAAACTCAATAACTTACAATAACAATGGCTGATGACTTCGACAAAGAAGAAGAGAGGTAGATGAGGAATGAAGACGAAGAAGAAGAGCAGCAAATGAGGAAAGAAGACGAAGAAGAAGAGCGCCAGATGAGGCCTTTTTGCTTTTTAAAACTTTTTTTGGACCAAAATTTTTAGACCTAATTCTTTTAAATACTTGTATGTCAATGGACGGGCGTCCATCTAATAGGAACACCCGTCCATTGAATAAGAATGCCAGTCCATAATATATGGATGGGCTTCTATGATTTTTGTTTTAAAAATATTTTAATTTAAATTATGGACAACCGTTCATTCTAGGTAGATGCCCGTCTATAGTAAATGAACTCCTATCTATATAATATGAACGGGAATCCATTGTTATTTTCTCATGGACAGGAGTCTATTTAACATGAATGGCTGTCCAACAATCATGGACGCGCATCCATATTTGATGGACAGACGTTCATTCATGTAATAGTTGTTAATGTGCTACGTGGTTGCGTTTGACTTAATTGACACGTCGTTTGATGTAAAATTTTGGTGCAAGTCTTCGGTGTCCGTGACATTATTAATAATACCACGGAAAGCTTTTTTAGCTATGCTAACAGTATTGTTTACTTATTTTAAATTGTTAATCTAGTGTGAAATAGCTTGATCTGAGTTTAATGTCCATCTAACAGTTCAGCTTGTCATCTTTTTGTGGATTTTTAATTTGGAGTAATTTTTAAATTTGCATTTTAATATTTTATGTATAACAGGTATGCAGTAACATAAAGTTGATCGAGTTAGCATTTGATTGATTTTCACTTGTCATTTTTAAAAGAACGTATTGATTAGAATACAACATCATCTCCTTATTTCCTAATATTTTCCTTTATATAACTTTTCTGACCATCTTTATGTTTACCAGCTTGGCAAAAGACTTGCATTTCCTGCAAAATGCAGAAGGCTCTGGATTAGCTCCATTTGATTGTTGGATCTGCTTAAGAGGCATCAAGACCATGGCCTTACGTGTAGAGAAGCAACAGGTACTACTTCAGTTTGTTCCAAGCATTAATTTCTCTTTGAATCTCTCGTGTCAAAATCATTTCCTTTCATATCTTCTATACGATTCAAACTACTTTGTATGGTGGCAAGTTGAATGCCAAACATAATGAAATTAAATCTTGCAACGCTATGTAATCCGGCTGGTTGGACATGAATAAAAATCTCTTAACGCTTTTCATATTATGTCTATTGGATACCAAATGCTGAGTAAACGTGTGGCGTATGTCTCTAGTCATGAGACTAGAGACATACAGGATGATGATTTTAAGAAAAATTTTGAAGCTGGAAAATATGAAAATTTAGAAGCTAATGTGCTCATCCTTGTCAACATTGAAAGTATAATTTCGGATGGTACAGAAAAGTTGAAACTTCTTAGTTTGTGCTTTCGTCCAGGAGTTTGGAGGAATGGATTTGGAATTTGGTTCACAAATACATAATAAAAGTTTTTTACACACGACCCGTTAAAATGGCACGGTTTAATCAGATTTGGATTGTTTTTGCTTTGTAACTTGTGCAGTCGCTTTTAGTTTGTAATATTTTTCATCTGCAAGTTTGCATGTTTTATTTCCTAGTGTTCATGGTAACATGTCTAATTGATTCCATAGTCAAATTTGATGCAAGTGGTGATATGTATTTTTTCTTTTAGATGTGTATCATATGATCTTAATACGCATTTGAAATGATACTAGTAGGTTTCATATTCCGTGTTGACGATATCTTTTGCTTGAATCTCTTGTGGTGAATATATTTGAACATTCGCAATTGTTGAATTTGTTGAACTTGTTTTTTCTCCCTTTCTTTTGTAATTGCTTGAACTGAGTGTGCGGCGGTCTTGTATGTTTAGGCAGTGTGAAGTCTCTGATAAGCATGCCGTGCTTTTATGTCACATGCAAGCATACCAGCTGCAGTGCGCGAGGCAAGAGGTCTAACTGAAGATCTTATTCGTGTCTCTGTGGGAGTTGAAGATGTAAATGACTTGATTGCTGATTTAGATAATGCCCTTACCACTGGACCTATTTAGGTGCCTGCATATGCTTTATTTTTTTAGACTTTTTGACCATAGTTGGACAATGTCCGCAGAAGATACTTGAAGTTGTTTTGATAATTGAATTCTGGTTTATGGGGCCAAGGTACTTGGGAAATCTTGGAAACCTCTCAGTTATTTTGTATTGGCTTTTATTTATATCTTCTTGAGTTATTGATAGACAAATTCTAATTCTCGCAAGTGCACGAATCGCTATTGCAGTATAGTGTGTAAATGTAAAGGTCGATTCCACACGGACTGTAAGTGTTCTAATAATCCTAATAACTATGCCTTGTGAAACCAATTAAAATGAAATTAAGAAAACACATATATAATATTTATTGATTCTAAATCTAATTATCTAAAGAAAAACCTAGGTCTTTAACTTCATCATAATTAACCCTAGTTAGTAAATACGGGTACGGAAAAAAAGGTATGGGAATTTTATGGATATGATACGACAAATGGTGAAAGTTTGAAAAAATTCGGCCATAAAATTCAGATACAAGAAAAATACGATACAGGTATATACAGGTTTAATACGACACATTACTAATAACACATTTTGAAAAATATATGGCAATATCAATCCTAGTTTTAGCACTTTTCATAGACCACCTGGTTAAAATCAATATAGCATTTCAAATATACGGGTACGGCAAAAAAATAGTACGAGAATTTTATGGGTATGATACGGCAAATGGTGAAAAATACGTTTGTAAAAATTCAGATACGGGAATAATTCGCGAATAAAACGTCTGAGGCATATAGTTTGCGAATAATACAGTTGGGCTGATAAAATATGGAAATTCACGAATAATACCCGAATTATACGGTTGGGCGTATAATTCGCGTTTTATTTGTGAATTTTCTAACTAAGTAATTAACCAGCAGCTATATGTTCATAGTCAAACTATTGTTGTCTCTACTATTTTCTAGGGTTCATCCTCTTATCTTTTTAGGATATTATTGTGTATCATTAAGCTAAGGACGTTACCGTAAGGCATTCAGAATTAACCCTCTTTCAAAACCCATTAAGATCTAGAGCACTAAACATATAACCAATTCGCACAGTCACGAATCATCCATTCACAGAACTAATCAAGATAGGTATGGTCTCTCTCATTTTTAAGGTACATCGTAAGGCTTTCGGGATTAACCTAGTTATCATTAAACTAGTTAGGGTGTATAGTGTAGTCTAATTACAAAAAAAAAAAACCCTTAAGAACAAGACCATCAAACCAATTTATACCTGTCAGGGCGTATGTATAGACACAAACCAGTCATTCCATACCCAGTCTTGTCTCATTCAATCAATTAACTAATATCAAGATTGATCAGACTCTAATATCAACTAAAGATTGAATTAAATGCCATGAACCTTCAATTAGTTTAAAATAGAATATATTAAACACAAACCTTCAATTAGATTACATTAAATCCCTAGAAAACAAACTAACTACATAAAGTAAAAGAAAAGATTACACCTAGAAGCCATGAAGATCCATGAAGAACAAAGGAGAGGAAGAGAAGGAGAACCTTATCTCCTCTCCAAGCCCCTCTTTTCCAAGTTAGCCCCAAATGTATACAAAGTTTTTTAATCCCTCTCTTCAAGTTAATTGATATAATAAACCCTAACTCCCTAAAATATTGCTAAGGACCTTTATTTATAGTAGTAAGGCCTTGAGGGTATTATGGTAACAAGACACTTCAATTAAAAACACATAAAACACATCTGCTTGTCTTCAATGCACTAACATAACTTTCGGATTAATTTTTAACAATTTTCCAGGTCGAATTAGGCACGATCAAAGCATGAAGTTGTAACTCTGTCTCTTAGCCTTAAAATTCCATCAGAAGCATGTCAATTGGAGTTATGTAGCACAAGTTATGCTCATTTTAGTGTAGCATGTTCTAGCAAAAAAATTCCCGAACATAAAATTCACACATTGGCACCGCAACTCCAATCTTCCGCCAAATCTCCTCCTCTAAAAATCTTGATCATGTTGCGGCATGATTTTGGGGCGCTGTTGGACAAATTTGTGCAGCTGCGGCGCTTGAATAGTTCTACTGCGGCGAACAATCTTAAAAAAAATCATAACTTCTTTGTTTGAGCTCCGATTCTTGAACCGTTTATTTTCACTTGATTCCGATTCTTTACTCTTCAATGTGCATACTTTAGATCCTCATTTTTCTGCACCTAAATACCTCCAAATTCACAAAACATACCCGTGATTCTAGAAAATAAAAGAGATACAAAAATGAAGTAAAATTAACCAATTAAACCTAATTCCGACACAAAATGCCCTTAAAATCACTAAGTATGTATGTGCTTCCAAGCACTAAGTTATTATCAATAAAAATATAATTGATGGAAACCCCACCGCGTGTATTCAACTTGAGAAATTATTTTATTTTATTTTAGGGAGAACGACATTTTCCCACCCAAGGTTTGACGAAATACTTTCCTACCATTCGTTAGGTTCTGTTATGTTTTTCGTTAATATTTTACTGAAAAGACAAAAATACCCTTAAATATTTGATTTTATAAATTTTTTATTATTTTTTAATTAGCCAAAAAGTCAAATATTAAAAAGTCAAAAAAATAAAAAATAGTTAGCCTCACCTAAAAAGTTAGGAGTAATGATATAGAATTGTTTAAAGTTAAGTGACCTTAATATTTATTTATTTATTTATAATGTCATTAATATCCAATCACTATCATTCAATAATCTACTAAATTTATAATATTTTTCATAATATAATGTTTTTCATTTTTACTAATTAACATATAAAATTAATATTCCTAATTAATTAAATAAACAAAAAGAAAAAGATATCTTTACACTTGAATTAGTAAATAATTGAGTAAAGATTTTGACTTAACTAAATTTTAATTTATAATAAATTAGTTAAGAAATAAACTATTTAAGAGTATTTTCATCTTTTCAGTTAAATATTAACATAAAACACTAACAGAACCTAACAAATTGTGAAAATGTATTATTTTGAAACTTGATAGATGGAAAAGTGTCGTTTCGCCAAACTTTGGCTGGGAAAATATCATTCTCCCTTTATTTTATATAGATAGCTTATTGTTATAGTGATTTTGAATTACTTGACGATTTCTGTGGGTCTAGCTTGGGGCTATGGAGATGGCAATTTACTTGGTAATACCTCACCTCGAATTATCCGAATTTCCGGAGCCTCGAAATCAATTGAACCACTATTTTGTGTTATTTCCATTTATATTATAATTTGTTTATATAATTATCTCAAAAAATTATGAGGTTAAATATCTATCAAATTGTTACGAATAGATGCTCAGTAGTTAGTCACAACATAAGTTATGGATGTAATTTATGAATACCTTTTTTATTTTGGAGAGTTGGAGCTTGTAATCTCTTTCAACATAATATCTCTCACATGTGGGAGTGAAAGCAAAGGGTCGAAGGCAATTGATCGGAAATATCTCTTATTTAACCAAAAAATCACTCCGCCAGAGACAAAATGGAGCTACCCTCTTCCACCATCACAAAATTAGCCAATTTTGAGAGAGAAAACGGGATCTCGACCCGCGCTTAGGCACGCTGAGGCAATGATAGAGAGAGATAGAAAGCAAACTACTATTTGGAGATTTACTCGATGATTTTCGATGAAGAATGTCGTGTTTGTTACCTTTTCCTACCGCCAAATTCATCGATTGTTGTGGATTTTGTCTAAAGAAGAGGTAAAATTGGTGGGAAATGGGTTGGGTGTTCTTCGATTGTCGTGGAGTTTGTTTTTCTTCAGACATGTTGGAGCTTCCCGTTTTACAAAAATAAGTTCGTTGTTGTTGAATTTATGGAAATGAGTGAGGGGAAGGAGAGTATTCATAGCGTGATGGGAGACGAAGAAAGGCCATCGGTGTGAAAATTAAAATTAAAATATGAAGGGAATTTTGCAGCAGAAGTGGTG